TGCAGATAGCCCTCGTGTAGCTTTGCGCGAAATTAAAAAAAAACAAAAAAACATTAGTTAGACATGGTTCAAAGGACAATAAAATTTAAGTAGAAACAGGTGTATACTGCTTCGAGTTTAAAGCTATTTAGGATAAAGAAAGGTAGTTTTATGTTACAATTTGAAGTCATTTGAGAAAAAAGAAAAGGATAATTTAGGTTTATTTCATATTTTGATTGTAGAATTGACCAACCTTGTAAGAGGTAGGATAGAGAAAATTACACATAAAATTCAAAACAAACCAAAAAAAACAAAAATTAGTAAGAAAAGCTGTAAAAGAAGGGAACATTTTTCATCCGAAGTATTATATATGAAGCCTGTGGTATTATAAAAAGGTAAACAATAAATTCAAGGCTAGTATGAGAGTACTTGAGTGTTCACATAGTGATGATAAAAAGACCTATGTGGTTAAAAAAACTAACAGGTGTTAATATATTAAAAATAGCAATAAAACAAATTACTCAAAAGTGTATTGAAACTATGCCACAAAGTTCATGTCAAAGATCAGATGAAGCATAATTTACATCACTAATAAGAAGCAATGTGTTTTTATAATTTACCTCGACAAGCAGCCTTTTTTTTATATATCTAATAGTCTATTCGCATTTTAAGGATCAGAATTACCACTAAATATGAAAATAACTTTATTGTTTCACCTTTCAAAAAGTTTTTCTTCTAGAATATAATACATTTTAACAATTGTAATGTGCCACTTCTAGAAATTCTGGAGAATAATACATTTATATTGTAATACTGAACAGTGCCATGGAAAGAGTTCAACATTTAAATACTGGTACTGATGAAAGATAGCTAGATCATGTAAGAAGTAAGTATTATGAAAAATTGGTTTATACTTCAATATTATGTCAGAATAGCTTATCAGTACACACATTACATGTTTGGTAAAAGTAGCCTTGATTAAAACTTTTGTTATGGTTCTGTGATAGATGTTTTTGTTAATCTTAAAGTTGTACTTTAATTTAGTTGCTGACTATTTAGAAGGATGACAGATTGTTAAATACAGAGGGTTGAGTGAGTTATACCAAAAAAAGGTTTTGAATATGCAAATCAGCAAGACACGTGATAACCACAGATGATATAAATAATCATAGAAATGGCATTTATCAGAACTACAGTTTGACATTATTTACTATTACATAGGTAGTGTGATGACACAGAAAAACTGATCACTTTTGAGAAGAGAATGTAACATCCTTTTGTGATGCAAAATATTCATACACTCCGATCATATAGCTATGTTCAAATCAGGGATTTAGAATTTCCAAGATGGGGAATATCTCTTATACTTAATGGCATTGGACAACTGGGGAACATAGATGCATTTGAGCCACCAGGATCATCCAAAAGAACACTTGCAACAAGTCATAACCTCCCCCCCTCATGGTAAGCAAAGAGTGGCATCTTGTAACAGATGAGAATCCATAAACAAAAAAAAGTTGGAAACTATCCATGTGCCCCAAGCAACAGGCCACAACATAATAAAGTAGGATCTCGATGTGGAAGAGGAACACAAGTTGTGTACATGAGCTACTTCCAAGACATATCAGGGAAAGGAAGACGAACTACAGAAAGTGGTATGAACAGAAACTAGCTAAGGAAAAATGGCATAAGGTGATAAAACTTATATGTATCTTGATAACTGTAACAAATCTTGTACCATTTTTTTACCAGTCTGTAGGTGAAATAATTTTTCAATAACAGTACAAGGCATGTCGCAAACGTTTTTTGAAGGGACCCATGATCACTGCTGGATACTGCAGAGTTGAAAGTTAGGAATCAGAAGAATGGATACAAAATCAAGGGGAAGTTTGTTTATTGTCAGGCCAATATTCTAGATGTTTTGTACCATACAGAAGGCTTTGCATAGAAGTGAGGTCAACAGAGTATGGATTTATCAAGATAAAGCTTCCAGTCATATTTACTGTCCACTGGTTGCTTACATCAAGTAGCTCAAGAATTAAATGGGCATTCATGCTATTCCATATGAAGATATGCTGGTCAAGTTACCAAATATGGTGCCTGTGGATTTCTTGTGATTGGACTATTGAACATGGTGCTGGCCAACTAAGTGGATTATGGAAAGCAAACAGGAAGGATTGGTTTTCTTTGGATATGACAGAATCTTTTGTGATGGAAACTGTGTTGCAAGGCTATTGTAAAGATGTACAGTCATCAGATAGTTTGACCAGACATGGGAATATGGTAACAGTGTGGTGAGGCTCTAAAATCGTTTTGATATAATGTACTCAACTCTGTATGTTAGTATATACTCTAAGCAATGATTTTTAATATTTGATCTGTTTCAACTCCACAGGATTACAATAGTATTTTGTGTAATTTGTTTTAACACAGTTTTAAATTTTCTGCCTAATAGATGGAGTGGTTTTGGTAGATCCTGAGTATGTGAAAGATAGGCGTGTATTCGGTCATGTTCTTGCAGCATTTCGATATGGTCGTGAAGACTTGGATGTTCTTGGGTTAAACTTTCGGAAGGACCTGTACCTTGCCTCAGATCAGCTGTATCCTTTGTCAACTGACCCCGATAAAAAGCACCCACTAACCCGTCTTCAGGAACGTCTTCTCAGGAAACTTGGCCCAAATGCTCACCCTTTTTATTTTGAGGTTTGTTGAAATATGGCAGAAATCTTATATATCTAAAAGAAATAATTTATTTTATTTTATTAGTAATAAAAAGTAACCTAAGATTGATCATGAGTTGTAACTTATACCATAACTAGGAGTTGGAGAATATTTTAAAAGATGCATAATCTAAAGAAACCTACTCAGCTTGAAAAAGAAATTGGAGTTATACTGTAAAGTATTGGTAATGGTAAGATGCCTTTTTATGCTAAAGTATTGGTAATGGTAAGATGCCTTTTTATACTAAAGTATTGGTAATGGTAAGATGCCTTTTTATACTAAAGTATTAGTAATGGTAAGATGCCTTTTTATACTAAAGTATTAGTAATGGTAAGATGCCTTTTTATACTAAAGTATTCATAATGGTAAGATGCCTTTTTATACTAAAGTATTCATAATGGTAAGATGCCTTTTTATACTAAAGTATTGGTAATGGTAAGATGCCTTTTTATACAAACCTTAAAAGTAAAATGTTTGTGGTCAGAATCTCAATATCTTCCTTTATCTTAGAAGATTAATTCATCTTGCAATTAAATGAACCTGATTACCCTGTTATGTTTTTGATACGCCCACCAGTGGCACAGTGGTATGTCTGTGAACTTATAATGCTAGAAACTGGGTTTTGATACCTGTGGTGGGTAGAGCACAGATGGCCCATTGTGTAGCTTTGTGCTTAATTTCAAACACACAAACAAACATCTTTGATACATAAAATGATGAGTAGTCAGAAACAATAATAGGTTTTTCATCTCTATGCCTTTTACAGTACTGAAAAATTCAAACAACTTTTTTTTAACCCCTTAAATCCAAGCGAATGCTACCAGCGTCCGGCTGTAATACCTGATTTACCCATCAGAAGGGGACAGTGTCCAATAACATTTGTCTCTTTGGCTGAAAACTAATCCAAATCATTTTTATTATCCACAAAATTGAAATTATAGAAGATATGATGGTAACTATTAGGAAATTATGAAAGTAATTCTGGCAGAACATGCAAGCAATTATGTGTATATAAAGAGTTAATGAAGTTTTTGAAACATTACTTATTACTAATATCCATGGTTTACTTTATTCTTAGTGATAGTAGATTAGTTTTATTTTAAAGTTACCACAGAAACACATCACACCTTTGTAATTTTCTACAGATTCAGATTGAGAATCTTGCAAATCTATTGCTATAATTTTTTTTTCTGTATTACAGCATTGTCGTTATAATTTCTGTTTATATCTGTAATTTTTATGTAGTATAGGTTTCTGATAGTTCATAAAGTTTGAATAAACCAGGTTGAAGTGTATCGAAAAATAGATTACGTACATAGAAAATGATTGTAGCTTTAGTTATCCACATGATTGAAGGAAACATTCCTAATGTACTTCACATTTATAGTGACTGAAAATGGATAAAATGGTGTTTCTATAAGTGTAATAATGATAAAACGTTAAGTACGTTACATGTAATAAGAATCTTAAAGTAATTTCTAAACAGTTTTCCATAATTAAATGCTAATATAAAAAATATCATAGAATTGAAATACTACATTTTTTAATATTTGGTTAAATACATAAAAAGTTGGATATTTTTCTTATATAAATTGAAAATAAAATAAAATCATGTGTTATACACAGTTATTTAAAATGTTTGTAATTTTTGTTTTTGTAAGATTAATATTGTTTTTAAAAACATCTTGTATGTCATAAGTCACTTGTAGTTTGTGAAAATGATTACAATGAAGTACTTGTATCAGAAACTTTTATTGTGTGTTCTGTAATGACAATTTTATTGCACTAACGTTTTTTGTTTTTCATTATTGTTCTTCTTTCAGCTCCCTCCTCATTGTCCAGCATCGGTCACTTTACAGCCTGCATCTGGAGAAACTGGAAAACCATGTGGTGTAGACTATGAACTTAAAGCTTATGTAGCAGACACAGTGGATGAGAAACCACATAAAAGGTGATAATAAACTTCTGTGAGTTTTTAATATTAGACCTACCATTAACACTTTATTCTTAGCAAAGGCGTTAGAGTTTCCTAAAAACAAATGAACTATTAAAGTAATGTTCTAGCTGATGAATGTGAAAAAATTAAGTCTGTTATGCTTTGCAGAAACTCTGTAAGGTTAGCCATACGAAAGGTGATGTATGCACCAAGCAAGCAAGGAGAACAGCCCAGTGTCGAAATCAGTAAAGAATTTATGATGTCACCTAACAAGTTGCATTTAGAAGCCTCACTTGACAAAGAGGTTTGTCATTGTTGCTGTGATTTTGAACAAGTTAAATGTTTTTTAATTTTGAACAATGATAAAAACAAAGTAAATTATTTTGAAATAATCATATGTTGTAAAATGCTTTTCCTTTGAATATTTTTAATTTTACGTTCATTATTGAAACCAAAGGAAATTATCAAAGTACAAGTTTTTCAGTAAGTTTTTAGTATGTTTTATGAAATATTCATAAGTTAAAACTGTTACATGTTTCAGTAAATTGCATCAGGCCATATTACAATGGGAAATAACTTAACTGATGAAATTGCATCAAACTCGAATCTTGTAATAATTTTCTAACCTCAACGTAAGCTAATTAGAAAAATAGCAAACACATATTCTGTCAAATTTTTTATATTCGTTGTATTAAATTTCTATACGATATACTTTGGCTACTCCTCAACCATAATTCTGTAATTATTTAAAATAATTTGGGTCATTATTATTATTACTATTCATGTTTATGCTTAACCTCAGAATTACCAAACCAATCAGTTTGTTATTAAACATATTTTCCTAAACTGTTTATGTACCAAATTACTTCGTGTTCCCCTGTTGGATAAATAGGCCGTAACAACATATGAATGACATAAAAAATGTAAATACAAATACCATCAGTTTTGTAGTTAATCTCACTAACTACTGCTGGGTATTTTACATAGAAAATTAGTGATATGTCCCATTTTGTTGGCCAGTTCTTCATACTGAGTGTTATAAACAGGCAAAATTATAACATTTCTCATTTTGTTAAAATATGTGGACACCCACCAGTTGTAATTGGTATATAAACAAGTAGCTAGTTTGATGATTAATAAGATTATTTTGCATTCTTAGCTTATTATATTGTTTTAGGACTAATCTAGATCTCTTACACTGCCAAACCTTGTGAAATATTGGATTTAGTACATTCTAATCATTATAGATTTTTCTTGTCGTGTGTGTTGAATTATGACATAATATACTTCTATCTAGTTATTTTGTTATGCAGTTGGTTTCAATAACTTATGAATGAACTTTTAGTTTTGATCTAAGTAATTAGCTTAGTTTTGATCAGGTATTCTTAATTCTTTTTTGTCACTATAAAAACAAAGTTTGTAAGTTTTTATGTGGGGGGTAATATATTTCAGCTCTATCACCATGGAGAAGATATTGCAGTCAATGTTCACATCGCAAACAACTCAAATAGGACAGTAAAAAAAGTCAAGATATCAGGTATGTGTAATAACCCCAATCATGAAACTGAAAGATGAACCTTGTTCAGGTTCTGATGTAGTTAGAAGGCAATGAAATGTGTATTTGTATCTTTGTGTATCAGCACAGTTTTACTTGTGGACTTTTTTATATATATACACACACACAAAATGGTTTATCAAAGACAAACAATACAAGTGTGAACTCAAATTTGTTCTCTCATTCTTGTATTGGGCTAAATATGGTACAGTAGTTAGTGTGCTTGGATTGTAACTGAGAGTTCATGTTTTGGAGCTGTGAGAGCATTCATAAGGGTGATGCCTTCCTCCTAGTCTTATCAGTTCAAAATTAGGAACAGCTGTGCACAGATAACCCTTGTGTAGCTTTATGTGAAAAATTTGAAAATAAACGAATATTTTTCACTGAAGTTTTTTTTAATCTTCAAGTAAAATTCCTCATTGACAGATTAAAAGCTTTAACAAAAGAAAAGTAAAATTGAATTTGTTAAAAATTAATGTAAGGCTCTGGTTATTTTATGTATTTTTCATACTTATGTTTAAACAAGACCAGTCTTGAAGTATAGAAATAATCGGTTGATGAACAAATTAAATTAGTCCTTTATTGCAACATTTGTTGGATTGTATGATGATCTTTCAAACAAAAAGTTAAATGGTTTTAAAACCTTTAAACCAAAGGAGCCTAAGTGTATGTTTCATGTAATTAAGAAGAGTAAAACAATTTAAATATGGGCTATTGTTTTACAGAAAGAAATTGATTTACTGTGTAAATGAATTGAATGGGATATAAAGTTTTTATGAGCATTTTCTATTAAGTATGTTTTGTTAATTTCTTAACGTTAAATGTTCTAGTTCGACAGTTTGCTGATATTTGCCTGTTTACTGCAGCACAGTATAAATGTTCAGTAGCTTCAGTGGACAGCGAGTGAGTACTTTGATATTCTGTCTATTTTATTCAACCTGCTTTATGTTAGTTTCATTTGGTAACAAGCAAAAAACTGCTGTTTTAAAATGCCATACAACTTATAATTATAACTCATTTTTGGAATTAAATAAACCAACATTACCTATGAAAATTATAATGTTTAGTTTTTTCTTTTCCAAACACATTTTTATTACATTTAATTTCAGCCATTCAATCTTAACCAAACCAGCATATTCAAATGTTTCTGTACCTATATCTGTATGTCTGTCAATTTATAACTATTCTGTAGTCAGTATTCTTATATGTTTGTGTTTATCCATTAGTGTTTAACTGCTGATCTAGCAACCAGTCAATCAGTGGTCAATCTTTATTTTTTACCCTATTGTTAGATAAATTTGTATCCATAAATGTTTCTTAATCAGTAATTTTTCAATCAGTCTGTATCCATCTGTCTTTCCTTTTCAGTCACATATTTTGTCTTTATTTCTTCATCAATCTGTTTATCAGTCTTGTTTTCTCCTTCAGTAATCATCAGCAGTTATTCAATTTGCATCAGTATGTATCTAATTAGCTATGTAGTTAATCTGACTATCTATTGTAGGTATATCTATGTCTATATACACTTTGTGGTTCTAGCTTAGTGATTTAACATTGCAGTAAAAATGTAAAACATAAATATTTTCTAGAGATGGGTGTCCTGTTGGACCCGGGTTTACATTATCAAAGGTTTACTATTTGAAGCCCCTGTTAGCCAATAATAAAGACAAACGTGGTCTAGCATTGGATGGGCAGTTAAAACATGAGGATACAAATCTTGCATCATCCACAATGTAAGTCACTATTTTTTCTAATTGCTTTCAATTATGATTTTATTATTAAAAAATAATAAATAAAGCTGTAGATATTACATTCTTATTCAGTTTCTTCAGCAATTTTGAAGCTATCGTGAGTAATCCAGATGTTAGAGGTAATTTTTTTTTTCCCCTCGTTGACAAAAACATTTTTCTCGACATAGTAACACTGCCTATAAATCAAAATTGAAAATATATCTCTCACAATTATTTGTTATTTATAATTAACGATGCGGAAAAGCTACTCACTTCTTTGTACTAATTATTATGATTCAATGTTTATCTGTAATTAAATATATTGTAATAAAAGTTATTAAAACACTAATCTTATACTATAATTGTAACATTTCACAAAAACTACTTAACTTATTGTTATCTAGGAAAATGATTATTGATTTTGTTAAAACATTATATCATTGATTATATCTGTTTTCAACCAAAGATTAAGCTTATCTTATTGTAAAATGTTGAAACTAGGAATTATATAAAGACTGATTTTTTTTATTTTATATCTTTGGAATAGTTAGCTTTTAATTTCTTCTTTGTTTTGTTTGTTGTTGTTGACCCAGTTCTTTGAAAAATGTGGACTAAATTTTTTTTTTTTTTTAATACTGAATCTTTGGGTTACTTCAAAGAGAATAGTTTTAAAAAAGAAACATGAGTGACAAAAATAAGTATTGAGGTTTTTTTGGTAGCAATAAAGTGAGCTTCAATTCACAAGTTCATAAAAATTGATCTTTTAATAGCCAGAGCATTACTTGTATATTAGTATCAACTTGAAGTAATTGTGCACGTATTAACATGTTAGTTTCAGAAAAACAAAATTTGTGTGATATGAAGAAAATTAAGGAGAAATTTTAATTGTCTACTTTCTCTTTTCTTTTAATGCATATACAATATAAGTGGAGTGTTATCAACAGTTTTGTTGCAATTATGTAGAAGTCTTGCATGAGCAAATGGGTATGGTAATAATTGAATATATTTTACCTGGAAATGCCTTCACGTTAGTCTCTTTTCTTGAACACTATTTGGTATCCAACTGTGTCACAATTCAATGTATCATCAGTGATTTTTTGTAATGGGGGAGGGGGGTTTATCATTCAGTACCGTTATTTTAACGTGAATGTTTTAAATCTTTTTTGTGTGTGTGTGTTCGTGTTAATCAACTTCTAAATTTTATATCTGACAAGTAGTAATACAATTCACAGAGGTTTTTATAAAAAGGTCTAGTTCCATATTGATTATTAAACTAACTTTTTCTCAAGAACAATGTGAGAAACATTTATACATACATCAGAGGTGGTACTGTATTGTGTTATCCTCTTGTCCACCACCAGTAATTAGAACAATACACAGCACACCAACTACTGTGTTTTTATATATTTGTACAATAAGGTTTTAGGGTATACTTTAAATATATATATATATATATATATATATGTGTGTGGGTGGGTGGGTGGGTGTATATAT